ATTGTTTCTGGAATCACATCCTCAGCTAAGACAACGGGTTCCTTGTTAGATGTGTTTGATCCCTTTGACTTTCTTCGTTTGTTGGGTGGCGGTTCGATCTCTGGTTCGCCACGGTCGCGCGCCGCTGCTCGAGACCTTGTAACGACGAGGGTTTCCTTGCTGTCCTGAATGCTTCGCTCCGAGATGCATTCTACTGGAATAACTCTCTTCAACTCAGGATCTGATGTTGATGCCAATGCGGCAAGTGCATCTGCAGTTGTATTCTCTCCCCGAGGTATACGGATTAATTCAAATTTCGAGAAATTTTTAGATAGATCCTTCACCACTTCGAGGTATGCTTCCATTCTTGAATCTTTGGCCTCATAGTCTCCATTAAATTGGTTAACTACTAATTGCGAATCGCAATAAGCCAATATTTCCTTAGCTCCAACTCCTTGTGCTAGTCGAAGTCCGGCAATAAGGGCTTCGTATTCTGCCTCGTTGTTGGAGGCACTGAATAACAATCGGAATGATTGTTCTAGAATTTCTGATGTTGGAGATTCCAACTTGATTCCCACTCCTGATCCTTGTTTTGTTGAAGACCCGTCTACGTGTAATTTCCAAGTTTGGTTCTCCGGTTGCTCTATCGTTCCAGGTATTGGTAGTTCGGTCAGGAAGTCTGCTAAGACCTGAGCCTTCATACTGATCCGGCTTTTGAACTCTATGTCGTACTCGCTTAATTCCACCGCCCATTTCGCCAAACGTCCGGACTGACTTGGACTATGAAGTATTGTTCGGAGTGGTTGGTTAGTTAATACTTCAACCGGATGGGATTGAAAATATGGACGCAGCTTCCGAGCCGAAGTTACCACCGCGAGTGCAAGTTTTTCCATCATTGTGTATCTGGTTTCCGGATCCGTCATTGACTTGCTCACGTAGTAAATTGGTTTCTGCTCCCCACGGTCTTCCCGAACCAAGACTCCACTAACCGCGTGGTTTGAGACTGAAACGTACAAGTAGAGTTTTTCATCTACTTCCGGTTTGGACAGTACAGGTAGAGTGGTTAAGTATGCCTTAAGCTGCCCAAAAGCTTCTTCACACTTCTCATCCCAAAGGAATCCTTTGTTCCCTTTTAGAATTTGGTAGAAAAGCAACGACTTATCTGTTGATCTCGAGATAAAACGATTCAAGGCCGCAATCCGCCCAGTCAACCGTTGCACTTCTTTGAAGTTTCTTGGAGATGGCATGTTCAGAAAGGCGTTAATTTGATTTGGATTGGCTTCAATCCCTCTTTCTGTCACGATATAGCCAAGAAATTCTCCGGATGGGACTCCAAATGTGCACTTCGCCGGGTTCAGCTTCATTTGATATTTATTGAGAATATCAAAACATTCCTCCAAATGTTTAACATGATCTTCTTTCTTCAATGATTTAACCAACATATCATCTATGTAGACTTCCATAGTCTTCCCGTGGTGATTGTGAAACATTTTGTTCACCAACCGTTGGTAAGTCGCTCCTGCATTTTTCAAACCAAAAGGCATTACCTTGTAACAGTAGATACCTCTATCTGTGATAAATGACGTCTTTTCTTGATCGTCGGGGTTCATCATTATCTGATTATAACCCGAGAAGGCGTCCATGAACGTTAACAGCTCATTTCCAGCGGTGGACTCTACAAGTCGATCTATATGCGGGAGCGGAAAACTATCTTTGGGACATGCTTTATTTAGGTCTGTAAAGTCGATGCAAACCCTATCTTTCCCATTCTTTTTCTTGACAACGACAGTGTTTGCTACCCACTCCGGATATTGCACTTCTCTTATGGACCCTATCTTCAAGAGTTTATCCACTTCGTCATTTACTATTTTTGCCCGCTCCACTCCTAGCTTTCTTCTTTTTTGTTTTACCGGTTTGAAGCTTGGATCCACGTTTAGTTCATGACAAATTATACTCGGATTTATACCAGGCATGTCCGCTGCTGACCATGCAAATGATGCTTTGTTTTTCCTTAAGAGTTCGATCAAAGCTTCTTTTATTTGGCCAGTCAACGTTGCTCCAATTCGAATTTTCCGATCTGGTTTGTCTTCTTCTAATACTACTTCTACTACCACATCCTCTTTTTCCTGCCCACTAGGAAATTTTTGCCTTAGTCCTTCTTTTGCGGGCTTTGTTAATTACTATTGGATCTTCAAACGGTGGCTAGCTAAGTAACACGTCCGTGAAGCTTCTTGATCTCCTCGAATTGTTTCCACCCCACTTGATGTTGGAAATTTGATACATTGATGGTATGTAGAGGGGACTGCTTTCATCCGATAAATCCAGGGAGTCCCGAGGATGATGTTGTAAGCTGCGGGCTTATCGAAGACAACGAAGTCCACGATCTTCGATACCTTCTTGGCAAGGACCGGTAGCTTGATTGTTCCGAGAGACATGGCTGACTCACTTGTGAACGCAACTAACGGAGATGGGGGTCCTACTATGTCTCCTCGGCTGATTCCCATTTTTTCTAGAGTACTTAAAAAGATCAAGTCGACCGAACTGCCTGTATCTATAAGGATCCTTGATACTTCGAAGTTAGCGACATCAAGAGTAATAACTAGAGCATCATCATGCGGTCTTTCGAGATGCCGCGTTTCTTCTTCGTTAAATGATATTGGGGCACCTTAAAAATCAATTTCTTCGCTCAAACTTGCTTTGAGTAAGACATTTCGCCTATGCTTTTTGATGGAACTTATTGAATCTCCGCAAAATCTAGAACCTCCTAGAATCACATTGATCTTACTCTTCGAACTCCTTGGTTCTTCCTCGTTGGATAACCTTGGTCTTTTGGAATCTTGATCTTTGGAGTTTTCTTTTGCTTCGTGGTATTCCTTCACAAAATCTTTTATATCGAATTTAGAAAGATCGCCACTAGCCCAAAGCTCTGCGAGGTGCTTTTTAAGAACGCTGCAATCCTTGGTTAAATGTCCGGTTACTTTATGAATGTCGCAATATAGACTTTCATCACGGACCCAAGTGTTTGATCTTCCTTTCCCTTGGAATTGTTTCCCGACGGAATTGTTGAAGGGTTGCGACCCAAACTTCCTTGGTCCTTTGCTCTCTCTAGGCTCGAACTTCTTGGTAGGGACGGTGATTGCCGGCTTTTCTTGTTTATTCCGTTTGGCAAAACTTTCTTTTTCGTCTTCTACCTCCATCCAGTTGTTTGCGCGGAAGAGTGCATCCTGAATTGTGTCTGGTTTATGAAGTATTAAGTCTTCTTTAAACCTTGAATCATGTCGCAATCCTTTTCGTAGGGCAGATAAAGCTGATTGCTGTGAGATTCTTGGGAGTTTTGACAGCACTCCTTTGAATTTGGTGATGAAAACTCGAAGTGACTCATTAGATCCTTGCGTTAAGTTCCAAAGATCGGCATCCGAAACGCTTTTATCCATAAGGATAGAGTATTGCTTTAAGAACTCGGCTGATAGTTCGTCGAAATTGCTGATCGAACCCGGCTCTAATTGGGTGAACCACATTAGAGCTTGGCCACACAGATTCTCCGAAAAAAGCTTGCAGTAACCTGCATCCTCATCAGCTTCATCCAATTCGACTCTTCCAGCAGCGATCAGAAAAGCTGCGAGATAGCTTTTTGGATCCTCCAATCCACTGTAAGGGTCCAATTTGAGCTTCCGGGAATCTTTGATCCTCAAATTTGCAATTCGCGGGATAAAAGGGGTTCGCCTAGCTTCTTCAATGACTCGATTGATGTCTGGCTCCGAACTTGTAGCCTGATGAAATTTTGATTTCATTTCTTTTAATTCCTGGCTAACCTTCCTCATGGTCTCGAACTGGTCGAGGTTCTCCTGCTCGTACTGAGCTGCAAGTTGTTCTTCATCCCCGAGCTGCGTCTCTTCTTCCGACGTCTGAGCTACATAATTAGTAGCACCAGGAGTTGTTTGTCCGCTGGTTTCATTTCGTGCAGCGGAACTTGGCGAGTTGAATATCCCTCTTCGGATTCCCACCGGGTTTCCTGCACTTAAAGAGCGAACACGAGTTTGTATATTATTGACGTTTTGACTAAGAGATACCTGGGATGTTTGCAACGTATCGACGGCCTTTTCCACATCTGAGAACTTTTGTGATATGTCCGACATGGTTTGCTGCATAGCTTTGAGGGTTTCGGCCAATGATGTCTCAGCGGCGTCTCCTCCGGACATTGTTGCTTATCTCGGAAGTGTGATAAAGAAAAAATCTGACCACTCAAGAACTTAATTTCCCCACAGACGGCGCCAAAATGTGGATGTCGGATTCACACACTCAAGTATTTTGTTAAGTGGGAAAGGTTATTCTTGAGGGACAAAAATGAATATGTAAAAAACTTATAAATTGATACGAAAATTGCTATAGTATTTCTCTCTTGAGAGGAAGCCCCCTTTACATGGCCATTGGCCTCTATATTTATACATAGATAAACGACATTAAAATGAGCAATTAAGTACAATTATTCCTTCTTAAATGTGTCCGTTTTGATTCTTCGACTTTAATGCTCAACGTTTGAATTTGAGTTGACTCTGATCTTCATGGGCCTCGCCTCCTTTGGCCCAAGTGCCTTTGAACCGACTTACCCGTGTCTTCTACACCGAACTCGTGTCACAGTGCAATCACTTCGGATTATCGAAATGGTGACAACCACTTCGACCGTCCCTTCGGCTCACGGGTCCAATGGGCTTTTATCCTTTATGGGCCATTATCTTGATTACGTGGCAATCTTTGGTTGGTCTCGTACTTCTAGTGCGGGATCCGACACCAACATCAGCCACTTGTTCAGACTTTTGATCAACAAAAGAGCCATCAGCTCTAGTATGCGTTCTCATAAACACTTCACCTAATGAAACTGGACGCCCCAACTCTTCCTCCTGAAATGAAAGACAAAAAGAATATCATGTGTAGAAATTATAGAACTTATGTAAAAGTAAAGTATTTGGAGCGATTGAAACAACTTACCATCTCTTGATGAACTTGAATAAATGATTTCTGACCGGCTAAGTGTTTGTGCACTCCAAGTCCGCCACGATCAGAATTTCTGCATTGTGAAGCATTCTCAGTCCTCTCTATAGCATCAGCGGTCTTCCAAAAGTTTTGCATCTCAGTCCAAAGTGTAAATCTAATCCAAGTTGGTTGTACACCTTTCGACCTCACTTGACTGACAATGCCTTTCATCTGTTTCTGCGCTATAACCAAGAATCCTTGTTTAACAAGGGCAGTAATCCCAGTATCCCAATTAAACTCCCGCTACATAACACAAAACAGTAAGTTAGTAACATACTATATATACTACAATAAGACAGAATGAAAGCTATATATATATATGTGTCATTACCGCAAAAGTTCTGAAATATCTCTCTTGTATGTTGATTGGAGTAACCTTCCAGCTGTAGTAAGGCCCGTCAGTAAATAGTCGCAATAACGTAGGTAAGTAGTCGCAGAGATTTGCGACTAAATATTTAGTCGCAAAAGTTAGTTGCAAAATGCAGGTTTTCTTGTAGTATATACACTACTAGTTTACAACAACTTTTAGTAAAGACAGTTGAGTTGGCAATTTGGCATTCCCCAACCTCTACGAAAGATAGAGTCACATTTCCGTAGTTGAAGATCTGTAGAGATGGCAAATCAATTATGTTATTAGGTTAAATGAGATTATACACAATATATATAATGTTTGCAATACATATATGATATATCTTGTTATATAAAGCTTGGTTTTCAAAATTAGTAACCCGTATGATCATGACACATGTCAAATCTATCATTCAGATTTTGACACGTGTCAGAAAGGATTTAATTTTTTTTTCTTAAGGAAATAGAAAACTAATTATTAAAAATACATATACTAATTTTCATGTCTATATCTTAGACAAATTTGATTTTAATTTTTCTTAACCAGATAAAAAAAACTAACAAAAAAAGGAAATCGACATAAGTTAACTCGACGTATGTTATTTGTCAATTAGACATTGTTATATATCAATTAAAATTTTACATATACTAATTTACAATTAAAAGAACGTTAAAGTTCAAAATAACATCATAAGTTACTTAACATTAATTTATTTGGATAATAATTATATATATCGTTGTAAAATATTGTTTTTATTTGTAAAGTGAAAATACAAAAAAATTGAAAAAGTAATGAGCTTATAAGAATAAATATTTGAGTAAAATTATACTTATGTTTTATTCTAAGAATTTTAACAGATGTATAGTCTTATAGAATAAGATTTCAAATATTTATTCTTATAAGGTCATTAATTTTACGGATTTTTGGGAATTGATCATAAATAAAATAAGATTTGAAAGAAAGAAGTATCATAAATTTGATTTGTATGTTTGTGTACTATATGTCTAACCCTTGCAAGCGACCAGCAGTTCAACTAAGATAACAAATGATTTTTATTCCAGAAAATTAGTTATCTAAAAATATAATTATATGAAAAATAGTTGTTCATAGATATTATCATAAAAATCACTAATGATAAAGTCTATGGAATATTACTCCATAACCAAATTATGATGATTTCGTGGCTCTTGTTTGAGGTGTGGAATCTTCATGTGAATTTAGGTCAGGGATAAATTTCTTTTATGTGCTCAAAAGAAACAGCTAAAAAAATCTGAATTTCTATAGAATCTGGGACTTAGTTTCAGTTTAGTTCGGCGAATTCTCGGGTTAAAATAAATAATAACCTCGAGATAGATGAATTAATTTAGGTAGATTGTATACTATACAAACCTTACCATCAAAAATTATTGATATCAAAGTCGGACAAAGATGTGATTGTTGTTAAGAAACAATAGATTGATACTAGCTTGTGTGCACCATGACTTCTAATTAGTGCATTCCTAAATTGGAACTTCTATTATTTGAAATATTAAGGGTAGTTCTATTGGCTCCCCATAAAATAAAATAAAAAATAGAAAAAGGATGAAAGAATGGAGAAAAAACTATAAATATTATATTTGCAGGTGTCTTTCTTTTATCGGTTCAAGCTAATATATAATTTAGTAAACAAATAAATTATATAAAAAATAGTATTACTATATTACGTAGATATCCAAATGGGTAAATAAAAACTTATAGCAAAACCCTCGACTGGCTGACCAGATTCGATGCATATATCAGCAAATACCAAAGTTAACAATAGGGAAACTCTATCGGAATGCAATTGGTTTCTCACACCTCTATAAATTTAGGGGACTTTTTTGCACACAAAAATATGTGAATTTTGTGGGTGATTAAGATCCATCGACAAGAAGTGTCCAAATTTATGGTCAACGCCTACAACTAATATATAATCTACAGATACAAATGATCTAATTTATTGTTGTGTTGTCTTTCTCTTTTGTTGAGAGATAAAACAAGGAAATTTTTATACTAATATACTTCGTGTTTCTATAGTTTAATATTGTATATTTTTCAAATGTATATTTTCTATTTAATAAGAATATGATCAAGTGTGACTCTGTGAGGAGAATGAGAAAACCCTCACTGAATAAAGCATTAGTACTAATAAGTAATAAGTACCCTCACTCTCTCTATTTGCTTCCATTTCTAAAGGAAAACATTAAAAAAAAAACTTCACTACCACACATCAAGTTTCAAAATGACTTAGAATATGATAACTTAGTGAAGTCTTTGTATTCGGACTTAGAGAAAAGTAAGGTTAAGTCGGCTACATATAATGCCTCCAAATCCATGAAATGAAAAATCAACGTTAGTTAAAAATCGTACTGTTTGATATTTCTTACATAGGTTCCAAATTACCGAAATGGCCCTTATCCCTATAAAACCCATAAGAAACATTAACAAAAGATCACACACACACAAACAAAAGTAGTAGAAGAACCAACAAAAAATGGCAAATATCTCATACTCTACGTTCATGTTCTCCATCATTTTCCTCATCTCGACCGCGACGGCTGCCACATTCGACATCCTAAACCGATGTAGTTACACTGTGTGGGCTGCCGCAAGCCCCGGAGGTGGCCGGCGTCTTGATGCGGGCCAGTCATGGAGGCTAGACGTCGCAGCCGGTACTAAAATGGCACGGATTTGGGGTCGGACCAACTGTAACTTTGACCCCTCGGGAAGTGGCCGATGCCAAACTGGTGACTGCAGTGGTGGACTTCAATGTACTGGTTGGGGACAGCCACCAAACACGTTGGCTGAGTACGCTTTGAACCAGTTCAACAACTTAGACTTCTACGACATCTCACTTGTCGATGGATTTAACATTCCTATGGAGTTTAGGTAAGAATATCATCATAATATCATTTCCTAAATTTACATTTTTCCCAACAAAAAAAAAAGCAAAACAAAACAAAAAACTGGACCATATTTAGATGTCAAAATCTAAATTTTGAAACTTCAACGTAAATACACTAAAGAAAAAAATTAGCGCCGCTGAAAACAATAAGAGATTGTAATCCATGCCATAGATTTTTAATTTTCATATTAACATTTACAATAAACGATTGAATCGTAAATGGGGAAAAAAATTAAGTATTGGTTTTATAATTGAAAAATACAAATAAAATGTAATGAAATTATTAATGTGATAATACTTACATGCCATTTTTTCCAAAATCTAATGCGTGCTATTTTGATCTGATTCTGAAAATAGTAGAAAACAAAAAAAATGTAAATAAATTTCTTGACCCGTTCTGTTTTTTTTGTTCCACATTTAATTTATTTGTTGCTCATAACATTAAAACCCGTGGAGCCCTAATTACAGCGGGCGAAAAAGAAAACAACAATCGAAAGTATATATTTTCAGATCGATAATGATACTTTTTTTGTTGGTGTGTACTGTCTCCAGCCCAACAAGCTCGAACTGCCACCGGATCGTATGCAACGCGGACATAAATGGACAGTGTCCGAATGAGTTGAAAGCCCCGGGTGGTTGCAACAACCCGTGCACGGTTTATAAGACGAATGAGTATTGTTGTACGAACGGGCAAGGTTCATGTAGCAGCACTGGTTTCTCAAGATTCTTTAAACAGAGGTGTCCCGACGCCTACAGCTATCCACAAGACGACCCGACCAGCACTTTCACTTGTAGTTCCACTAACTACAGGGTCGTGTTTTGTCCTTAGGGCTAAGCTCGATGCTACGGGTCTCACCGAGGAGCATTAAATAATTAAGAGAATCGTTTTTACATACATATGTGGGTGTATGTACGTAGATATGCGTACGCGTGTTATAGAGAATCAATCATATCAATGATTGGCTCAATCACAGTTTCAATTATCGGATTACAATCTCTAGTTATGTAAAGTAGTATCTCCTATTTATTGCTGTACAAATACCCTAGCTCCTCTGCTTCCTGTATATATACTCATGTCTATATCTCAATAAGAATCATCCTTTCAATACATTCTAATATGGTATCAGAGCCCGATCCACACATGTCCAACCCGATCCGACCCAAAGATGGTCCAATCATCGACAAGGCCCAAAATTGATGCCGTCGATCTAAGCCCGAACATTCCGAGATTAATGGCCAAAGAGCCATCATCTCGAGGGGGCGTATTAGGACATAATGTCCCACATCGGAAGTTGGAAGGGATCCTAAGTAATATATAAGGGATATGGGCCACTCCACTCATTGCCAATTGGTTTTGAGTTGGAAGCACATATTCTAATACGTGTGATCATATATATTTACCATCAACGGCTTAATATATAATCATGAAGCAATAAATATTTACGTTGGTTAACATAGGTGTTGGACTCGTTTATTATCTCTTAGACTCTTACCATATTCTTATTAATTAACTAACAATTAAATGAACTCGGTAGAACTTTTTTTATAAATCAAGATCTTGAATAACTATTGCCCACACGGCTGTGGTTTAGTGGTACCAGAGAATTGGGGAAAAGTTGGAAGAAACTAACCCAGGTTTGATCCACCCTACAAACAAATATTATATTTGTGTGGAAAGTCTGGGCTTGGGCTTTGGTCCAAGCAATTTATATGGTATCCGGGATGCATATCAACAAATACCAACTATAATAATAGGAAACTCGGAATGAAATTTCTTTCTCACGTCTTTACTTTCTTTCTTTTATACATTAGTTGGATCAACAAAACTTGATCCCTAGTTTGATTTTTTTTTTTTTTTAATATGATTTTTTTTTTTTTAGTTTAATTTTTATTATGCAGGATAACACGATTTGTTGGAATTAAATTCGGGTGGTAATGTTGATAAGTGAACCGTTAACCAATTGACAAAAGACTTTTCCTCACATCTTTTTACTCTTGAAAAAATGGTGAGTTGTCTTTTCGTTATTGAAAGCAACCATATGAATAAATATGTCGTGAATAGATCTATCGACAAGAAATTTCCTACATGACCATCTATTAAATCAATTGTATTGACTCCAAATTTATGGTCAATACCTAGGGATGTTTATCAGCAGTAACCTATGTTAAGCCGAGTTTAGGTTAAGCCAAAACCCAAATTTGAGTTAACTTGTTAAAAATCAGCCGAACAAAGATAAAACCGGTGATCCGGCTCAATACCAAAACATGATTCACAAAAATTTAAGTTATAGTTTTAATTAGTCATAATTTAAACCATAATTCAAATTCATTGTCTTTGTAATTTTCAAACTTATCTATATTCTCTAATTCTAATAAAGAAGATTACATCTATAATAACAATATTTGAGAAGTGTTTTTGCTGACGTGTCGGACTCTCGGCTCTTGTTGAGCCCTTAATTTTGCGTAATTACTTAAATACCTTCTATTAAATTAATTCGAATATTAATTAAAATTAAAAAATTAACTGACCCTAAAATATAAAAATTCGATATATTTTACATTTAAAAAAATAGTAATATTCTTAAACACGAAAAAATGAAAAAAATAAATAAATTTGGATCAAATGTAGTTTACATACCTTTTTTATGACGGTTTATCGTTCGACCAAGAACATCCAATGATTAATCTCCACCAATCTAATCATGGTCGTGAGTCACATACAATTACGTCGGAGAAAGGATTGGTCGTGTCTTCTTATTTTCTCTTCCTTTTCCGTGTTTTTTTTTTCCTTTTTGGTTCTTTTTTTTTTTCAACAAAAGATGTGTCTCATAATTAATCGTTTAATTATATTTTTGATATATTAATGGTAAATTTATGTTGTGATAATTACGAGCCAATTGTTTTTAAAAGTAAAATTTACTTTTCTAAAATATATAGATATTGCCGATAATATCAAAACAACTATCATATATTCTTTAAATTCACAAATCTGATAAAATAAAAGAAACTTTCTTTTATCTTTTATACCGATAATGATGGTGTATCTAAATAAATGTCAAATATAATTGTAAATCTAAAAAAAATTATGTTATTGTTCCATTATTTAACAAATAAAATAAGGAATATTTTTTTATAATTAATATCCATAGTAGTTATTAATTGTTTTTAGGAATATTAATTGTTTTGATAAAGATTTGATCTAACACAATATATAAATCTTCATTTCTTGTTGTTGTAATTATCTTCAAAAATTAAAAAAATTAGATCGTACACCGCCTTTCAGTTTAATATAAATACCTTCTCTAGGTTTCACTTTCAAATCATAACTAACCCCATTTTTTTTGTTTTTTTTTTTTTGCGTTTTATTTTATTTGGCTTTACACATATGAATTCATGGTGTTTATGTATTGTTATAGGTTACGGATGCAACGTCGTTAAATAATTCCAGGACAATTAAATTGTTGATTCAATCGAACATATGGTGAGTTTTTCACTTTAGTACTTTCATGTTTAATATTTAAATTATGCTTGGTGTATTGAGAAATCTATAAGCTTTCCCATAATATTTTGCGAGCAGCTTAGATTTCATATTCTTCACTAAAAAAAAAAGAAGCTTTGATTTTGTATTTACCATATTCTTCACTAAAAAAAAAGAAGCTTTGATTTTGTATTTACATAATTTGATATCAGTTTGATTATTGGTTCCATCATGATGCAAATTACGGCCTCTCAACAACCCCAATAGACTATAATCGTTGGGAACTCTTCTTTTTCTCTTGCTTCTCTCTGATTATCTTTCACCAGGAGTCTCAATTAACAATATTTGAGAAGTGTTTTTGCTGACGTGTCGGACTCTCGGCTCTTGTTGAGCCCTTAATTTTGCGTAATTACTTAAATACTTTCTATTAAATTAATTCAAATATTAATTAAAATTAAAAAATTAACTGACCCTAAAATATAAAAATTCGATATATTTTACATTTAAAAAAATAGTAATATTCTTAAACACGAAAAAATGAAAAAAATAAATAAATTTGGATCAAATGTAGTTTACATACCTTTTTTATGACGGTTTATCGTTCGACCAAGAACATCCAATGATTAATCTCCACCAATCTAATCATGGTCGTGAGTCACATACAATTACGTCGGAGAAAGGATTGGTCGTGTCTTCTTATTTTCTCTTCCTTTTCCGTGTTTTTTTTTTTCCTTTTTGGTTCTTTTTTTTTTCAACAAAAAATGTGTCTCATAATTAATCGTTTAATTATATTTTTGATATATTAATGGTAAATTTATGTTGTGATAATTACGAGCCAATTGTTTTTAAAAGTAAAATTTACTTTTCTAAAATATTTAGATATTGCCGATAATATCAAAACAACTATCATATATTCTTTAAATTCACAAATCTGATAAAATAAAAGAAACTTTCTTTTATATTTTATACCGATAATGATGGTGTATCTAAATAAATGTCAAATATAATTGTAAATCTAAAAAAAATTATGTTATTGTTCCATTTTTTAACAAATAAAATAAGGAATATTTTTATATAATTAATATCCATAGTAGTTATTAATTGTTTTTAGGAATATTAATTGTTTTGATAAAGATTTGATCTAACACAATATATAAATCTTCATTTCTTGTTGTTGTAATTATCTTCAAAAATTAAAAAAATTAGATCGTACACCGCCTTTTAGTTTAATATAAATACCTTCTCTAGGTTTCACTTTCAAATCATAACTAACCCCATTTTTTTTGCTTTTTTTTTTTTTTGCGTTTTATTTTATTTGGCTTTACACATATGAATTCATGGTGTTTATGTATTGTTATAGGTTACGGATGCAACGTCGTTAAAAAATTCCAGGACAATTAAATTGTTGATTCAATCGAACATATGGTGAGTTTTTCACTTTAGTACTTTCATGTTTAATATTTAAATTATGCTTGGTGTATTGAGAAATCTATAAGCTTTCCCATAATATTTTGCGAGCAGCTTAGATTTCATATTCTTCACTAAAAAAAAAAAGAAGCTTTGATTTTGTATTTACCATATTCTTCACTAAAAAAAAAAGAAGCTTCGATTTTGTATTTACATAATTTGATATCAGTTTGATTATTGGTTCCATCATGATGCAAATTACGGCCTCTCAACAACCCCAATAGACTATAATCGTTGGGAACTCTTCTTTTTCTCTTGCTTCTCTCTGATTATCTTTCACCAGGAGTCTCAATTATTATTATTTCTTTGTATTGATGCGATCAGAAGTTTTATCTCTTTTTTTAAATAATGATCTCTTTATGGATTTTTTATTTAGGTATGAACATGGTTTGTTTCACGGGGTGTTTCGGTGTCTTGCCTTGAATCAAGGCGTGTAAAAACGTAAAGCTTGCTTTTATCTATCTTTTTTTATTGTCACGTCTTTATCCATCTATGTAACGCTTAATCATCAATTATTATATTAAACTTCAATAAAGGCTGGTGTACCAAATTCATGGTTTGTTTTATCTGATTAGTGTACCAAATTCAATTGGAACTATATCAGATCCATGAAATTATTGATTATTGATACATGCAGGTTATGTGTGATCCTTATACACCAGCTGGTGTTCCAATTCCAACCAACAAGAGGCACAACGCTGCTAAAATTTTCAGACACCAATCGTTGCCTCCGAGGAGCCTTGGTATGCTCATCTTCTTGTTTTTTGGCTATACATATTATTTTCGTTACTATAAATTCTAATAGTGTTTGTTTTTTTTAAACGATTGTATGTTTTGGATGAATGAAAGCAACCACGATGCATTAAGAAGATTCAAGTGATGTTTCAATTGATCTTTTATCTTTAATTTATCGATTTTCTAATTTTACAAAAATGTTCTCACCGAGTAGAATATACTTTTGAGTTTTGAGTTAAATCTTTCACAGTCTGTTGTGGATTAGCAACGTTTCAAGCCATATTAACTATTGTGTTGTGGCAGTTCGAAAGATTCATATAAATTGGACTATTGCTACAAAAAAAACAGAATCACAGGTTTAATTCTATCAAAGGAGATAAAGCCTCTTATCTCTACTGTCTTTGAGGGTAAAGATGCTAATGTCATCGCCCACGGAGC